CTCGAAGGAGGGAAGCAACTCGTCCCAGCATGAATTCGGGGTCGATAAATGCACTTAAGACAATCGTTGTCGTGAGGGACGGACTTTGACGCTTGCTCATATACACTGTCGATTCCGTGACGCCGCGTAGTATAGAGGCGAGCGCGAGCTGATGTTTGCAGAAGATCGCGACAACGATCACGGCGGTCGGCCGTGGCGTCACGTGCGTTACCGGACCGCTCTCTTTCCCCTTCCGTCCTCCGAGATCCAGGATGGTATGCGGCGATTATAAAGGCGGCAATAGCGTCGTCGCGTCTCCTAATCTATTTCCACCGAGCGCGACGTGCCACGTGCTCGACGCCTGGCAGCCTACTCTCTGTCTGCCTCTGTCTTTCTCGCGAAAAAACCGCGCATCAATCCTTCTATCCACAATGATTCGAGGACGAGGACGCGGCAAGATCAAAGAGAATCTGCTTGTAATCGAAGCGTTGAAAAGTTTCCAGCGTACGATGACGAGCTTAATCAAATATCGCGTAGCTGTTTAACCCGCGACCGAGAATTTAGTCTCGGTAAATTGCGAACTACGCGGCGCAATGCGACGTTCAAAGTTCAAACCGAAAAACGCATCGTATCGACGCACGAGGAAGAAGGGCGAATCGTGGTTGCCACGCGAGAAGGGATTTCGTTTCACAGTCGCGGTCAAGTTCCTTCTTTGACGAGACGTGTTCGGCATCGATAACTTTGCTCTCGCCCCAAAGTAATCATCGTCATGGTAAGTTGCACTCCGAAAATAAAGCTTGCAACGATTCTATTATTAAGTCACGTTATTATCTCGACATCTGTTGACGCGGGAACAACGTATTATAAATAACGGACGTGTTCTCGAAAGCGGTTTGAGGGGGCAAGTGGAGCACTGTGCACCGTTCGAGAAACGATTTACCAAGCAAGCCGGAGAAAGAGCCGCCTGCGCACCACAGAGCCTTTGATCAGCGTTCGCGGGGGTAGGTTAACTCGCCCCGCGCCCCTCGACCTTGCCACCGTGTCCTTGGCGGAACCTCTTTGATCGTGTATCGCGAACGATGCGGCGTTCCTTCCGCCTTCACGATACTAAATAGATTTTGTCTGTTATTTTTCGATCTTCTCGCCTACCGTCATTTCGACCGCTGCAACTATTTAGCTAACCGTCGCGCCGTTCTCTCTTACGATTACGCAACTCACGACTGTTTGGCTCCGATCATCCCGAATTTTCAACAATTTTACACGCGTATCTACTGTTACAGCATGGGTGGGTTCGCGTCATGTAGTCACCCTGATGTTGTTTCTTGGCATGGCTAACGCGTACGTGATGAGGACGAACATGTCTGTGGCGATCGTTGCGATGGTCAATCACACCGCCATCACCGGAGAGCAGGATGCCCCGACGAACGAGTACGGATACCACTATGAGAATGCTTCCTCCACGGCAACCGTAAGTTTATGATCAGACGAACATGTTTGCTCGTTCTCCTTAGTATGCTCTCTCATCAGATATCTCTTATCTAATCGTTTATCCGTCGTCTCAGATTGTACCGAAAAGGAGCATCGGTGAAAAATAGTGCACAGTCACGATCGTAATCGCAATCTAGAAGTTTAATCCTTCGGGAAGCCTTTGACCGAGACGTAGCCTTGAACTATGTGCAAGATCGACCGATTTGTATTATTTTATTTCTGCTGCAGAGCCATCACGCAGGAAGCAGCAGCGACGGAGAATTCGTGTGGGATAGCACGAAACAGGGCTACCTGCTGAGTTCGTTCTTCTACGGCTACGTCATTACGCAAATACCATTCGGTATACTCGCAAAACGTTACGGATCCAAGTACTTTCTCGGGGTCGGTATGCTGATCAACTCGGTGTTTGGACTGCTGGTTCCCGTATCGGCGCGTGCTGGCTACTATTGGCTCATGGTCGTCCGATTCATTCAAGGCCTGGGCGAGGTAAGCGATCTTGTTCTCGCGTCCCTCCCTCCATATTCTCACTCTCTCTCCCCCTCTCTCTCTCTCTCTCTCTCTCTCTCTCTCTCTCTCTCTCTCTCTTTTAATCATATGCACTCTGTTTCTCTATCTTCCCCTGGCTCTTTCTCTTTCTTCAACGATCGAGGAAGAGTGTTTTGCATACCGGCGCCCAGGTGCGTTGCAAAAGTACAAGCCAAACAATGCAAACGTTAAAATGAAAATAGAAAGAAAACCCTCGATGTTCTCTCGTTGATCGGTTTTTGATCGTTCGGGTGTATTTCCTGCCCCTAGGAATGGATTATCCCTATTACAGGGTCCAATTGTGCCTTGCACGCACGCGATGCTGGCCAAGTGGATACCGCCGAACGAGCGCAGCAGGATGGGAGCCTTCGTGTACGCCGGTAAGCTCGTTCGTCTCGACGATACCTTTTTTCTCGCTATTCATACCTGTTGTCTACTTCTGGGACTTCTTCTTCTACCACTACTACTACCATCACTACTACTACTACTACTGCTGCTACTTTCTTCTTTCTACTCTACCTTTTCTTCTCCCGCAAAAACTTGACGGTTTTGCTAATTGATCTGTTCTCCTTTCTCGGTACTCTTGATGTAGGCGCTCAATTTGGCACCGTGATCTCGATGCCATTGAGCGGTATTTTGTCTGAGTACGGTTTCGACGGTGGCTGGCCGTCCATTTTTTACGTATTCGGTGCCGTTGGAACCATCTGGTGCGTTGCCTTTCTTATCTTGGTCTATGAAGACCCGGAGAGTCATCCCCGTATCGCTGAGGACGAAAGAAAATACATCCTGAGCGCATTATGGGGTAGTGCTGGAGCTTCCGTGAGTATTCAATCGAACAGCTACGTTCTTAAGTAGTTCTTCGCCGATTATCCCCTCTCTCTGCGTCTCTACAGTCTCCTCCAGTACCGTGGCTCTCGATCGTCAGCTCGCTACCATTCTGGGCTATCCTGATGGCGCACATGGGCCAAAACTACGGATACGAAACGCTGATGACCGAGCTGCCCACATTTATGAAGCAAATTTTACACTTTGACATTAAATCGGTAAAATGACAGCAAAACGTAATGAAACGGAGAATCCAGCCAGGTCACCGATTCCGTAAACGAGTAAATTCGTCCATGTTTCAGAATGGCACCGTTTCCTCCCTTCCATATCTGGCCATGTGGATATTTTCAATGGTGATCTCTCACGTTGCCGACTGGATGATCTCCAGTGGCAAATTCAATCACACGATCACGCGAAAAATCATCAACAGTATCGGTCAATTTGGGCCAGCGATCGCACTAATCGCCGCCTCCTTTACCGGTTACAACCCGTGGTTAACCGTGGCAATCCTGACTGTTGGTGTAGGCTTCAACGGTGGTATCTACTCTGGATTCAAGGTGAACCATTTGGACATTTCGCCACGGTTTGCTGGCGTACTCATGTCCTTTACAAACTGCCTGGCAAATCTTGCTGGCCTGCTTGCGCCCATCACCGCCGGATATATAATAGTTGGAACGGTAATTGTCTCGCTGTTGATCGCGAAAAACAGCTGGCAACCAATCATGATCTCACTTTTTCCTTTTCAGCCTACCCAAGAGAAATGGAGACTAGTATTTATGATCTCGGCAGGCGTGTACATCGTGTGCGCTCTCTTCTACATAATATTTGGATCCGGTCTGCGCCAGCCCTGGGACAATCCGGACAAGGACGAAGAGAGGCAGCACGAGAAGCAAACCTTGGAAAGCATCAAGACCGTCAGCGAAACGCAACATTGACCTGGCAATGTGTGTTGCTTGCCTTTTCCCTCGTCCGCATTTTCACCACGTGTTCTTTTTTTCTTATTCTTCTTCATCTTCTTCACTCCTGGCACTCGAGTTATGATGCGTGAGATGATCGACGTCGCGCACGCACCTATTTTCTTTCTCTTCTCCTCGCCTCTAATCCCTCTTCTGTTGGTAAGGGCTTCCAAGCACATTTGACAACGATAGCATTCGAGGGCAAGAGAGAGAGAGAGACGGAGGGAGAGAGAAAATGTGTGTGTTTGTGCGCGTTGAGAGTCCACTAGAAAGAGGCGCATGCGCGAACGCTAGATCAAACGAATATATACGAGAAAGAAGAAACGGACGGCGTAATCTGCAAAAGGAAAAAGACGCACGCTTGAGAGCAGAACGCCGCAATGGATCATTCAGTTTCTTCTTCCGGCACATGCAAGAGGAGCCATATTTTTGCAGTTTGTTCTTCGCTCTTGCGCCAACTTAAATCGCACACAAATATTTGTGCAACAAGTAAGTCGAATCGAATGTCACGTTTCTATATAATCTACAAACAAGCCAAGGAACGAACATGCCTGTGTCTGCTGCTGCTGCTGCTGTGCTGTGTGCGTGTACGAAAGATAGGGAGGGAGAGAATGATAAGCTTGTGATAAAGCGAATAAACCAGTCGTAGAGAGAGTAAGAGAAAGATTTTGGGAGGGGAAGGTGGAGTAAGTGTGGTGGGTGAGAGGGGGGTGGAGAGAAAGCAGATAATTTTACATTTTTATAGTATGTGTGCGCATGCGTACGCGTGTGCGTGACTTCATTTCGTTTAACGGAGATTACGTGTGCCTTGACAGGATCGAACCGAGTCAGAATAAAAATCACACCGAAGTTTCTTCGATCCTAACGAGTTCATTTCAACGCGTCTCATTTTCTTAATTTCCGTCGAATTCGCTCGAACATCGCATCGTTTGAGCAATCCGTGATGCACTTGTCAAGTGCAACGCGTTCGAAACGCAACGTCCTGTTCGTGGCGAAGAAACGGACGAGTGCGACACCAGTATTAGAACAAATATTCTCGCGTCCGTCTCCGTTTGTTATTTGCCGCTTTCTATCGCGAGCAACTGCCATTTTGTATTGTATATACATGACCGATACCTATTGCGAGAAATGACGAAAGACCGCCGCTTCCAAAATGAGTAAGGAACACCGTTGCGTGCAACACGATGCAATACAACAATGGTTTATAAATATTGTAGATATTTTTGCGCATAGGTTTCTACCAAGTTGTAGATGTTAGGCAACTTATTACTCTTACTTATTTATGCAACGTGTACAAAGCAAAACGAAAGAATAGAAAATGAGAGAGCAAGAGAGAGATAGTAATGTTGAGTACGCTAAGTAACGGCAAAATAACATTCAAAAGGAAGAAATTATGTCTACATAGTGGAATGCATTTTCTTTTTTAATTATTATTGTTGTTGTTATTATTATTATTATTATTACTATATTGTTGGTACTATTATTGTAGTCGTCATCATCGTCACTGCTATTATTATTTTTATTATTATTATCATCGTCATCATTATTATCATGATAGTCATGTTCGTTAAATTATCGCACGACAAACGAGCGCCAAAGTATTGCCGAAATAACGTTGCTGCGAATGCGGAACATAGCCTGAGAACGTTCAAACTATACGCCCTTTATTTCGTTTATTTTCCTCTTTTTACACCCGTACATGCAGGCCGTTGTTACGGGTGTTTCTTATCGATCGCGACTGGTATTGCGAGTTCGCATAGCACACAAATTGTCGTCTATGGAAAAACGATGCATACCCCTGCCGTTTAGCCCACAACGTAACCGCGAGTGGAAATCTTCCAAATTACCAATTACCTTCCGTTCGTTATCGCGCGTTTCTTTAGTAGACCGATTTGCGAGCGTATCGATAGTCTTTGCCGCACCAACTGATCGCGCAAATATACGAACCGTTGCGAATCGGTTCATAGCATGTACCTGCGTTTTCCTGTGATCGTCTTACCCAAAATGTGCCTTCGACGAATTTGTCTCAAGTTACCGTGTCGACTACCGTTGATAACCCAGCAATTATTTTAATCGTCGCTACTGCGGAAACCCGACCAATTGCCCCTTGTCAAATTTTTCGCGTATGCGAGGATATTTAGGATTCGGTCACGCAGTACACTCTACAGCACGTCCAATCCGTTCGTATCTTTATTGCGCTAAAGTGCCTACGTGCCGCGTACGCGGTTAGGTGCGTGTCAGTGTTCGTGCGTATGTGACCAATTGGGCGCGCGTAGACGTTACCGACACACAAACTTGTCACAATCTTTCTTACGCGACCAATTGTAAAACGATTATATGCCAAGATTGATGTTTTTTATAGATATATTTATGACCATTGTGCGCGAAAAACTAACGCAAACTTTTGGGACAGTAAAGACATTCTTTTTTTTATCACAAAGTTGTAAAATGCGTAACAACGTATGCACGGGTAAATAAAGCATCGCTCAATAACTACAACTTTTTCTATTTTTCTCTCTTTCTCATTGTACAACCAATTGTTTGAAGGCTTCCACTGCAAACTACGTATTTTGTATGTACCTGATGTATGAAGTGCTTAAATGAAATTATCAAACATCACATCTCTCATGAGAATTGATTACAAGAAAATAATATTACCGATTGTCGGTATTTTAAATGTACCAACTGTTGACAATATAGTTGCGTTGGTAGTTGATGATGTGATCGTTCGAGGGATCATGGTCGTAAGTCTGCTGTCAAAGCAGAATGAACGACTACGCTGTCAGGTAGGTTTGTGTAGTTTTTTCAACTGTAAGTTACTCATTGCGTTATTACTGTAATCAAAACTATCTGCAGAAGTGGTGAAATTTACAACGGACGATTGCCGTGTGTGTCACGTGTTCACGAAGCTTTTGAATCGTCCATGTCGTTATTGTGTACGCGCATCAATTTCTAGGTTAGATTTGCTATTTTTTCACTATTAAACGGATTACGTTTCTTTGAGGATGAGTCATGCCAATTATGCTCTTACATTTAACGAAAAAGTCACAGCAGAGAAGCAATTCGCTGGTGTTTTTGTTACAGATAAGCTACAACGAAAACGATGCGGATTGAGTTGATAATCGTACAAGTAGTCGCGGCAGCGATTGCGGTAAACTGCAGCGACATAACTCCAGCAGTGTTTGGTAATGTACTGGACGGCATGCCAGCCGCTTTTGGCGATTTTAATTCCGACGAGTTGACCGATGTGTTCATGCTGCGCGAAAACGGCACCACCGTCGAAATCTTTCTTGCCGCTGAACAAGAACCTCTGCTAAGGCCGAGCTCCGATTTGAGCTGTACCTTTCGACGCACAGTCGTCGGCATCGTACCTGGAGATTTTGACGGAGACGTATTCATGGATGTGCTGGTGATCACGTTCGACCGGGAGAACCAACTGTCGTATGGTTACATACTGTGGGGTGGAAACGGTCGGTTGAACTGTACGAACGAGGACCCTCCGCTTATCAAAATGAGAGGGCAGCCGTTGGCTCTCGATTATAACCAAGACATGATAATAGATTTATTTGGCTTGGACGTCGAGTACAGGAGAACGTTCTGGGTATTCGATCAGAGCAGGGGAACACCTAAATCGGTGCCAATGAACACATCGCGGGAACTAGGCCCCCATCCACCTATCAGTCAACCACACTCGAACGCCTACCTCGATCTGAACAACGATTTTTTGGCCGATTTAGTTGTCACTATGAGCAAGAGTTTCGAAATTTGGTTAGGTATCAGTAATGGCTTCGAATTTCAAGAGTCCATACCGTTTCCCTATGGTATTACATTGGAAGAGAATTTCAGCGGCGTGATCGGACAAACGCTCTACCTGGACGTAGAGTTGACGGGCAAAATGGATTTACTTTTGCCCCTCTGTTTCGACGACGCGTGCACAAACAGTACAATCATGATGTATTCCGACAATTGGTACAATTTACAAGTAAACTTCAGAGATGGAGATAACGTTTTGTGGGGTTTCGTGAAGCCCGACGGGCAACGATACACCGATACCATTACCCTTCGCGGTGGTGACTTTAATATGGATGGTTATCCGGATCTGTTGGCCACTTTAAAATCGACCAACGGCAAACAGAAGCGCTCCTATTTACTCGAGAACGTTGCTTGTGATTCATGTGTAAACTTCACTCGAAAATTTGAGGTTAAGTGGCAGGCGTTGAATCCATTTCACAATGAAACTGCAATGGCCGTGTTCTACGATTTCTATCAAGACGGTATTTTGGATGTGATCTTGGTGGAGGTAGATAAAAGCAGCAACACCTATCGCACAGCAGCGTTCAAAAACAGCTTGGACTATGATGCGAACTTTGTCAAAGTGATGGTACTGACAGGACGCAACAATAGCATGTATCCGATTTCTCCGGGCTCGCTTGGCAAGAAGAAGAGAACTTATGGGACCAATCTTCCTGGTCCGTCGATAGCCTATCGGACCACCACTCAAGATGGAAGTCCGCGAAACGCAATCGCTGCTCAGCTGCCGCAAAGCGCACACTTCTCTTTGAATTTACCCTATACAACCTTTGGCCTCGGCAGAACACCTAATTTTGTCGACGCGCTCACTATTGGGGTAAGTCAGTTTTCGACGTGGTTGCCATCCAACGTGATTAAATTTTTAAAGTTGATAATGGCTGATTTATTCCATAGGTTGCTGGTAGGTCTAGAGAGTGGCCTCAGATCATTCCAAATTCCCAGATGGTAGTGATTCCAAATCCCATATTAGAACCATCGCGATGGAAAGCGCAACTATTCGTAACTCCAAGCAAATTAATTTTGCTCAGCGCCGCCGCCTTGACTGGCACCTGTGGCTTGATATCCTTGATCATAGTCGCTCTCTATTGGAAGGAGCGAAGAGAAGATAAGATCGAAAAACTTCAAGAAGCGTACAGGTTTCACTTTGACGCGATGTAAAGGAGAATTTAACAGAGTCCGTTGTTATCTTTAAGAAATTGTATTTAATCGTTCGACCTGTAAGTTATTTCATAAACGATTAATCAGTAATTAATAAATTAATAAATATAGAAACGTTTACAAATAAATGAACGAATGAACAAATAATGGTACTATGCGTTGCTGAGAATATGACGAGCGAGACGGCACAGAGGCAAGGGGATTAAGACGCTCGCTCCACCTTTGATGCTCACCGTCACGCGATGGATTAGTAGATGTGACCGTTTCGGCCAACAATAAAAATGCGTGTGATCCGACTTTGAGTATGTCTGCTACAATCAATGAGACCCGCATTCCTTCCTCTCGTTATTTTCTCAGTAATGCATAGTACATACGATTGGACGCGATGTATCGTGTACGTGGCGTATGTACGCGCGCGCATAATACCATTCGACGAAATTTTGGCGATATTTTGTACAATGCGTTTCTGGAATACACCGCGCACTCTGCTCGTTTCTGATAGAAAATCGTCGTCGCTGATAAAATTGACAATTTGCTGATTATTCTCTTGGACATTCTTTATAAAACAGGACCCGTCGCTTTACCTCGCATCGTAAACGATGCACCGAGTGCGAAATATACACTTACAGTAGTACACGAACGAACTTTGTGGGCGTGATTTTTTCCGTTGCCACTCCAGTCAATCTAGCCTGAAATTCACTATTGACAACGATCGTTTTTGATGGCAGGGTTCAAGTCGCTGAAATAGGGATGCGCCATTGCTTCGTCCGCTGCTAACCGTAACGCTGGATTACACACCAACAACCTCTGGAAGAATCAACGGATGTTGAAATTTTACGACCAATTTAACCACCAATATCATTACCTGCAATAAATCTCTGCCTTTGGAATTGAGTTTCGGCGTAACTTGAGCTAATCCTTGTCCAGGAAGATAAAGTGGGAAGTGCTTATAATCCGGCAGACTGGTAAAATCCGGCCAAGTCTCCTCGGTCGGTGTACCCAATAACTTGAATATTCTCTTCAATTGATCGTCTACATCTGAACCGGGAAATAACGGTCTACCGGCGTTTGCCAGTTCTGTGCGATTCAACCATGTGCATTACTTCCCCGCCCCATTGCTCTCTCTCTCTCTCTCTCTCTCTCTCTCTCTCTCTCTCTCTCTCTTCACGATTACTTACCAGCGAATATACAACCAGCGCTCCACATATCGATGGATGTCGTGTACAACTTTGCACCAAAGAGAACATCCGGAGGACGGTACCATAGAGTGACGACTTCCGCGGAGTAACATTTTACGGGAATTCCAAAGGCTCTTGCTAGTCCAAAGTCAGCTAATTTCAGCTCCCCATTCTGGAATAAAAGGCAGAATGGATGATAAATAAATACGATTTCGTCTGTAATCGAGCGAACGGAATTCACAAAATGGTACCTTGTTGATGAGTAAATTTTGAGGCTTAAGATCTCTGTGAAGCACATTTCTACTGTGACAAAATGCCAATCCACGCAATAGCTGATACCTGAAGGGAGTTGAAAGCGTAAAGCGTGGGTATTTTGCCAGTCTGGATCCATGGTGTTGCTCGAAAAGCACAAGTACTGCGATACTTACAGGAAAGATTTAACAACATCCAAATCGATCTCTCCGTTCAAACTGTCGAAATACTTCTTCAGATCCTGATCGCAATGTTCAAAAACTAAAGTTAACTTTCTGTCACTGTGCAACACGTCGTACAGCCTGACGATATTCTTGTGTTTCAGTTCTTTCAGCAGACAAATTTCCCTGAGGGCGGACGACGGTACACCCTGCACGAAATAGAAGGGGAGGCATCATAGTAAATCGAATAACAGGACACAGCTCGATGATACGATAAACTTACTTCGTCGTCGTCGTCTAATCGAACTCTTTTTAAAGCAACGATTTCATGTGTCTCGCGGTTCTTGGCTTTGAAAACTGTTCCATATGTGCCTACAAAATAGCAGTGAAATGTTAGTCGGTAAGAGAGAATCGCGGTAATGATGCATCCCCCATCGGCTGTCAAGAGTATCTATATTCGATACGCGGTTTGTAGGCGTTATAGGACCAACAAGTACAAGAATTTCGGGGAAAAGATGGGGAAATTAGAAACGCTTACCTTCTCCTATTTTCTCGAGTTTCTCATATTTTTGCATATTTTTGGTGATCCTACGGGCGGAATAGTCACAGAGTGGTTAGCGCTGCACTCGAAACGGTTGTGCGCGAACTCACTGTTGACAGTGGCGCCATAACCACTGGTAAAAACGATGCTTCGCCAGCATCGCTTGTACCTTTGAATACCGCTACTTTTAAAGCACTTCCTCCTTTCTTGGATAGAAATTGTTCCATCATCATAATATATTTGGCAATATTTTAAAAAAAGAACACGAATATTCATACACGTTTGCCAATTGTTGTACGATTCTCAGCAATGGAAGGATCTTAAGGGTCTCGACGAATACTTTTTCGATACCTAACCTCAAACGACCTTAACTAACCTTTAACAATCGAAATAATGTTGAAACAATCTTAACGATTGTTAGTGATATCACCTAAATAATTATCGCCGTATTCGTTCCACTTTCTAATCAATTTTCCCAAAAGAATAATGCTTTTGATAAACATAGCAATATCGTTTCAGTTTTTCGATAGGACCGAATACTTATGCCACGTTGAATAAACATTATTGTACATTGCATTAAATTTCCTTACACTTGAGTGCACATGGTCACGGATTGATTTATGTAATTGTAGCAACACACGGATGTAAGTACGTCTAATCACATATGCATATATACACACACACGCGTATTAAGGGGGCCCTCTCATGTAACAGGTCCAAAAAAATCGATTTTTTTTTTGCAGAAATCAATAGTTTCATATGTATATCTTGAGAATAGCCTGTCACGCATGTACGTGGGTTGCTGCAAAAGTTTCGGGAATCTGTCATTTCTAGTGCTGCCACTCTAATGGTAATGTCATTACCGCAATTGTTGACAATTGTAAGGATATATGGCGTTGAAAAAACAAAGAAATGTTAATTGGTTTTGTTTTTCTAACCTCTGAAACTTGGAGGAAAGGTGAAAAGATGGATTTACACCGGGAGCATTTTCGAGCAATGATTTATTACGACTTTCGGAATAACTTAACTCCACAGCAGTGTGTGAAATGACTCTTTGCGGCTTTTGGTGATGAAGCACAATCAAAAACAACAATGTATCGCTGGTTTCAAGAGTCAAAAGTGGACGTAGCAGTCTCAGCGATGATTTTCGTGATGGTCGTCCATCAACTGCTGTTCTTTCTGAAGACATCGATTCTATGCTCGAAATGATAAGGATGGATCGACATGTGATATACTGCGAGATTCAGTCATCTCTAGCTATCGATATGAAACAAATACATACGATATTACATGATCGTTTAAATGTAAAAAAGCTTTGTGCTCGATGGGTTCCCCACAATTTGACTGGTGCTCAAAAAGAGAATCGTGTGACGTGGTGCAAAGAAATGATCAAAAGATACAAAGGAGGCTTATCAAATTTGGTTTATAACACTGTCACAGGTGACGAAACTTGGATTTATTCCTATGAGCCTGAAAATAAACTCTAATCGGCTGTTTGGGTCCTACAAAATAAGAAAAACCAACAAAAGTTGTTCGTTCTCGAAGTATTTCAAAAAGATGGAAAAAGGGTTTCAAAAGCTGGTTTTAATGTATGCAAAAGTGTATAAATCTTAAAGGAGAATATTTTGAAAAACAATAAAACCACTTACCCAAATTTTTCTGCGTCTTTCCTCACACTTTCCCGAAACTTTTGCAGCAACCCACGTATGTATGTATATTGGAGAAAACTTTAAACGCGTCTTTCCCGAAACCATGTTTCTTAAATTGGTGTACACCATAACTCAATAACTACTTGACTACTCAATTTCAAACAGAGCTTGTTTTAATTGTTATACATTCATCTCGGGACTATACCTGTGATCTTCATTTTATTCTTTATTTATAATATTCTTTTAATCAATATAAACTCAATTTATCCACCGAAGAAAGTCAATTTTTGTTCGAAACCGTAGAACTTGTCTAATTTTTCATAATGTTTGTTTGAAATAGCTATAGTTCCAGCACAAACTATCTAACTTTAAGAAACTTTTTTAATTTTTAAATTCTGAGGATTGTAACAAGTGCTGCGCTGACCGCTAACAACGGTTTCATCGTTGAAGAGAATAAAAACAATTAAAGAAAGGTTACAAAAAAAATTGCTTGTGTAGTTTTTGAATGTATCTATGTATCCGCAAATTAATAATTTTGTATTGTTAATAGTTTTCTCAAAAAAAAAAGTGTAGTAGATAGTAGATAGACTGCTGCTACAGTGTGTTAAGAAATGATAGGTTCAGTTATACTTATGGTTGTAACTCATGAACAAATGTATGAATCGATCTGAAATTTTCAGGATACTAAGCTCTTATATTAATAAAATTCTACAAGCATCGTGTCGCCTACACTTTAAAAATAGTTTAAGCGTTATCGGATTTAAATAAATATATTTTTGTTAAGCAACCTTAGTGTAATAATTATTTTTACACCACGTCACTTCCAAACATTTCAGTTTTCTAACTGTTAAAAAATATTAATACATTTCCTGAGGTTTCGTTTACAATAACAATTTATTGTGTATGAGTCACTTAGGAATTAACGTCTGCGCTATTATATATCTTACGCACCAACATAGGTAAGAGGACAAGGCGACTAAATAATTTTTAATTTTTCGTTCTTTTATCAACGTGCTACATTAGCGACAGCTGACTGAAATTCATTTTTACCAACAACGCAACTTCTCCTCAAGTGGCGGCAGTGTAAGACCGAAGAGTAGTGGAGATGACCTGACCCGACTATTTCAGAGACCTCAAATTTGCTATGCCGGACAATAAGTAACTATATCAACTTAAATGCATTAATGTCCTCCAGCGACTCCCTCGCTGCTAAAATTCCCCGAATTTCAAATATGGATACGGATGTCCACTACGATGTCCCCACCACAAATCGCTTCGACTTGTTAGCCAATTTCATTGACGAGTCAGTCATTACGCGGGCGATCAAACCCACAGCGACGCAGTCTGCGAACCGTCCCCCCCGCATCAACCAAAAATTACGACGCAGCGCACAGTAGGCCAGGAACCCCCAAAAACTGGCCAAAAGTCGAGTAGAGAATTAACGTAAGAAAGACTTATCATCATACTCAGGAATAAAGTACACATCTACAGGGTGTCCCGTAACTCCTCGAACATCCGGAAATGGGGGGTAGCTGAGGTGACTCTGAACAACCTTTTCCTTTTCCAAAATCCAGTTTGAAGCTTCGTTTTCGAGTTATTAACGAAAAACACTGGCCAATTACAGCGCGCGTAGAGCCCGCGCTCAGGGGCGAAGAACAGAGGCTCATCCGCGCGATCGAACAAATGCGTACGCGTGATTTCTCGGTTCTCGATAGCTGTCAAAAAAATTTCACTTTGCACTGTTGTTTTTATAAGGCTTAGAGAAATGGTTTTTGGCCGTCATTCCGACGTTTGTATAAATTTTTGAAAAAACTGCAATTAGTCTGAATCGCGAAGAAAATAGCGAAGGTCGTTTTTACAACTTTTTTATCTGAGCTCGTAATAAAAATTTAAAAAATACGTTTTGTAGATCTATGTCAATGACACGCACGCTGATAATTTCATCGAAATCGGTTAATGTTTCTATGAGCTACAAACGGTTAAAGATTGTGAAAATCGCACTATCACGACTTTCCGCGTAAAACTGTAATAAATCTGCAGATTCTTACATCTTTCGATGCCTGTTGCTTGTTTCTCCATCAACATATTTCGGTGAAATTTTATAATTGACATCGATTTCCAAAACGTATTTTTTTTCTTCTTCATGAATAACAAGTAAGTCGTTTAATACCTGTGTTATTAACTGTGTTATCGTTTCTTTATTCCGAGAGGAATAAAGTGTTTTATTACTTATGAAAAACTTACCCCTTCGTCCACAAATTAATCTGCTTCGACGGAACTGGGTCAGTGTGTCGATCCTGACCTATCCGAAACATCTGATGTTACGACCGGGTAGGTGAACTCACATGATCGTTCTTCGCCAAACGTCGCGCGGCCCGCGCGGAAAGTGGGGAAAAAAACAGAAGACGTCGCGGCGTTTGACGTCTTCTTTCGGCGTTCGACGTTTATTGTTGTCGATGTCGATGGCTCTTGTGTCTTTACTAACGCTCATCGGTGAACTCACTTCCCCACACAGATCACTTTCTCTTGCCACTGGGAAAGGTTGGTATTTTATCATCATAAAATTCATTAATCAAATCCGACCGCCAGACCAGGGTATCAAACTCACATCGGCCCGCAATAAACCTCCTTGAGCGAACGCATCGAAGAAACAAAAACCTCGCGAACCTCTCCTCTCCATAACCGATGCTTTTTTCCGTCGTCAGGACGACTCCGCGGGTCATTCTTCAACACGCGCTTGACACCCAACCCACACACAATACAACACACCACCTAGAGTGTAAGAGGGATTCACGGCCTCGCGAAATTCTTCGAAAGAATTGCGGTCCACGGGAAGCTACAGGAACAACAAAATAATAAATTCATAAACATATCAACCTCTCCCTGTGGCAAGAGGAAGTGATCGGTGCGGGGAAGTGAGCTCACCGATGAGCGTTAATACAGACACAAGAAACTTCGACATCGACATCAATACACGTCGAACGCAGAAAGAAGACGTAGAGAACGCCGAGACGTCTTTTGTTTTTTTCCACACTTTCCCCGCGGACCACGCGACCTTTGGAGAGGAACGATCATGTGAGTTCATCGACACGGTCGTAACATCAGATGTTTCGGATAGGTCAGGATCGACACACTGACCCAGTTCCGTCGAAGCAGATTAATTCGTGGACGAATGGGTAAGTTTTTCGTAAGTAATAAAACACTTTATTCCTTTCGGATAACGAATAAAAGTACCGAACACAGTTATTAAACGACTTACTTGTTATTCATGAAAAAGAAAAAAACTACGTTTTGGAAATCGATGTCAATTATAAAATTTCATCGAAATATGTTGATGGAGAAACAAGCAACAGGCATCGGAAGATGTAAGAATCTGCAGATTTATTACAGTTTACGCCGAAAGTCGTGATAGTGCGATTTTCATCATCTTTAACCGTTTGTAGCTCATAGAAACATTAACCAATTTCGATG